GCTAAGGCGCGGTCCGCGGGAGCCAGCATCTCCGCCGGTTTCTTCTTTCAAAGAGAAAGAAGTCCTTATGCTCTCGGTGTCTGTCAGAGCCTGGCTTCTGCGGTCTGCCTACAAAGGGGGCTGGTGGAGCAGGCATCCTACGTTAACTCTTTCTGAGGAAAACCTCAATGCGAAGTACACTGATCACTCAGCGTTATTTTTATTAACAGGACGACCACGGCGCTGGGGTTTTATCATCGTTATCACAGCGGCATTGCAAAGGTTTTCAGACAGATCGCAGTGCCTGTAGTGGCAGGAGCGTGGTCACTTTCTGGAGTTTCTTTTTTAATATTTCTCAGACCAGCAGCACTGATTTGAATTGCAAAGGAAGCCAGGAACCTGGAGGCTGCAGAAACAGCAACGGCAGCCGCATTTCCCGGTCTGGCTGTTACATCTGCAGCCGTCAGAGCTGGTACCACGCGTAGGGTCTGTCCCATCCCTCCTGATAGCTATCGATTGAATTTTACTGAAGCGTACACAGGTTAACTGTCACAGTGGTATAAATGAACTGATGCCAGTTAGGGGAGCTGGATGCCTTCACACCAGATTTGCTAATCTTCGGAGTCTTTAAGTGCGCTCCGTCATCACAACAGTCTTCAGACAAAAGATACAGGCTTAATTAAACTGAGTCAAATAGGTTTAAGCAGTTAAATAGAAACAACTTTTTAAAGTGCTTAAAATCTGTTTGCTCTTTTTTTCCTTTTGTGTTTTAATCCTTTCAGATATGTTATTGTGTATAGATAAAAATACTTCCTGCCTAGGAATTTGCTAGCTAAAGCATTGTCATATTTTTGTGATGTTTACTGGTCAGAACATAAAATCATATTCCTCTCTTTGTGTTAAAGTTTGCATCTAACAGAAGAAAAACCTTGCAGACAAACCCAATAGACTGTATGAAATAAGATGGCCTATTTACTAGCAGTGGCTGTGGGTCCTGCATGGCATCAGTTTCCTTTTAATAGATTTAATTCATTATGTACCCAAAAAAGAGCCACTCAGTCCACCTCGCGTGGCTTGTACAATGCACAGCTGTTACCTTCTGGCTGTGGTCGTGCAAAGGTACGCACCGAGCCGGCAAGGTTAATAGTGTAGATATCTTGTATGAGATCGAAAGATACAGATGGGGAAAACCCACAAGTTCTTGGGCACTCAGCCTTTCTTTGGATGCCGTATGCAAATGTATTTACATTTTCTTTTCCCTCCTGCCCATTCTGTGACTCCATCATTTTGCTGAGGAGCTAGTGACTGCCATTTTGCTGTACTTCTCAGCTCAGACAAAATGGAGGCTTTGGAGGAATCAGTAACTACCACAGCCTGTGCCTTCTAAAATCGAAGATAATCACCTTTTATAAAAAAGGGGATAATTCTGAGGATGAAAAAAAAAAATCAGCATACCCCATCCTAAGAGGCAGAATCTCCTTTTTTCCTGTGAACACATGGGTGCAGTTGTGTTAATTTCATTGCCAAAATGTAAATATTAATGCACCTTGCACTTTGATGTATTGCCATAAAAGACACTGAATTTCAAATCACCAAGCCCATTGTGTGATACAGGGACGTAACTTAGCTATTCGTCTTTATTTGAAGCATCCCTTTTCCTAAAAGCTCACTTAGGGACATTCCCAGTTGCCATTAGAAAAGCAAAATAAAATTAATCTAAATCATTCTAACTTTATCTTAGAAAATTAATGATGGATGAAAGAGGGGGTTTATAAAGGTTTAATAAGAACTAGTCTGGAATACAGTGTATATTCTAGAGCCTGTGATTATAGTGGTAATTTAGCAGATTGTATCACTGCCTATCTCTGCCAAAGGATGTTTCACACCATTTAAAATGCACAGTACTCCCTTCAAAGACAAGTTGTTCTAGAATAACCCAACATCCAAAGAAAAGCCGTGTTATTTCACTCTCTCTTTATCAATTGCATGTGTGCGATTGCCTGTGTGTGTGTGTCGTCTTCTCCTCAGCAATAGCACTAAGTTTTCATGCTTGTTCCTGTGTTCATTTATCAGCCTCCTCAGAGACAGACAATACCAAAAATGGAAAGTCATGAAATCTATTCAGAATAGGGTTTAAGTGCTGAAACCAGAGAGCCTGCATAAAACAAAGCATGAATTGGCCCTTCCTCTAAAAGGTGAATTAAAATAAATTTGGTTTTGAACAAGTTATCCAAACTCTGAGAGCTCCTTTTTGTTTCTCTTTTTGAAGAGGAACAAAACAGTGAGATAAGGACAAATCTTAGTGTTTTTTATCCAGCAAAGGTGATTTGGGAATCTCTAGACCAAAGGGAGTGAGATTTGAATAAATTGCATGCCTGTGATGTTTCCAAGAATAAGGATGCAAGTCGCCCAGTGTGCAAAAGCATGAGCCAAGCTGATCTGTAGTTAAATTAAAGAATTTGCTCTATTTAAATTCATGCAGTGTATGATTTGACATTCCCTTTGACTTTACTGCCTCTCTTTCTTACAGGCTGTTTGCTGCTAAGTGCAGTGGCTGCATGGAAAAGATCGCCCCAACAGAATTTGTGATGAGAGCCCTGGAGTGTGTTTACCACTTAAGCTGCTTCTGCTGCTGTGTTTGCGAACGACAGCTGAGGAAAGGGGACGAATTTGTTCTCAAGGAAGGGCAGTTGCTCTGCAAAAGTGACTATGAAAAAGAGAAAGACTTGTTGAGCTCGGTCAGCCCAGACGACTCAGACTCAGGTGAGCTTTTCCCACACCTGCTCTGACTGGAAAAGCCACAAGCATTTGTAGAGCTTTCTTGTAGAAAAGTGTATCCATTTACACATCCACTTTATCTATATGCATATGCCACCCATGCAAATTAGCAGGCACAGCTAAAAAAAAATCCCTGCTTGCAGTCTGTTCTCCCTAACTTGACTCCCTTCCTGAACTTGGTGCTTAGTAAAGGACAAAAACTTCTTGTTTTCATCAAGGTATTTTTCTGTAAGATCACAAAATGTGCATCAGACTGACTTCAGTTACCTGCAGCTTCATCCAAAGTGTGCTGTTTTCCATAGGCATTCTTCCATCCACTTAACATATTTTTCAGGGGATCTTCTGCACACACACTTTCAGCACTGAGCTAGGAAAATGGCCAAAGTAGTAATACGATTTTCAAGAGTATTCTCTCTGCCAGTCACAAATGGTAACTTTAAAAAAAACTACAAGTACAACACAGAAATAGAGGAGAATCTGAAAGAAACCAAGAAGTGGTTGTGTTTGTGCTGCAGCAATAGCGTGTGCAGTGCAGGAAGCCAGGGCAGCTGCCAGCTTGGCAAGGCTGCCTGCATATCCACTCCCGTTAAGGCAGGCAAGGGGGCTCACACAAAAAGAAAAATAAAAAGCAGTAACTTGAATGAGGAGTTCAGTGGAGTCTGTCTCTGAATGCTTTCAGGCCAGGTACAGTGCTTGGCTCTCCTGACTTCCACCCAGACTTCTCCCTGGCAGTATGTCTCTTCTGTGCTACTAAGGCTCTAGTTTCTGATCATCTCTGTCGCCTACCTGCTATTTTGTGTCAGCCCCATTCTGGTGTCAACCTAGGAGATCATCTATGTGTTGACCCAAGGATAGCTCCACTATGGTTTGTATGCTATGTATAGTACAGAAGTGAGACATGCAAAGTTTGCCTGTTACAGATCTCCAAGAGCCCTGCGCTGTTCCTGATGAATGCAAACTGTTTGGGATCAAGGGACGACAGGTTCGATATCTTACTAAGATGCACTACTACTAATCTGCAGTGTGACCTCTCTCTTCAGAGGGACCTGGGGTTTGAACAGTGTGATTGCAAGAGTCTGCACCCCTTGGCCTGGGAGTTAAGGCAGAGAATCACCATACTGTGACCAGAGCTTTTGCCTTCTCCTGAAGAAGACAGTGGAGCCCTTACACCTGATAGCAGCTGATGGGTGTCTTCCCCGAGTTCTTCACAGTGATGGAAAGACAGATACTTCCTTTCCTCCACTCATTTCCTAGGGAAGGTTTTAAAAAAGAGTGAGCAAAAGCCGCTTGCTATCTGTCCAGGGCTGGAAACACAGTACTGCACAAGGACAAATAGTTCACACACTGGATTTGGGTTCTCCAGTCCAAAACCCAGGGGATCTAGCAGTGGTTACAGTGAGGACTGGCTTTCAGGCTCACAGGCAGTTCCAGGAGAGATGGGATGCCTCCTTCCTCTGCCATACGCACTCAAGGAGACTGGAAACCTCCCGCTGCCGGTGTGCCCTGGCTGATCCCAAGACTAGAGACAGCATGTACACAAACTGCTGCGAGCCATCATAATTGCGCACTTGTTTCCCAAGAAAATGTCTAAGAAAATCAACAATTACCATTCCATTAAGCGTACAAATGACATGAATGATTGCCTCTGGTTTATGGGAAAATGCATTATTCCACTTTAGCTGGGAGCAGTAATTATCCTTAATCTCTAATCTGAGAGCCATATTCTCCACATTGCTGAAATTTATATTTTCTTGTCAGGAATGCTGCAAGACAAAGGTCACTGCTGACTCAGCAGGACGTGCGGGACCGGGGCCTTTCTTGGAGCAACGTGTTATTTATTGCCATACTGTATTTGCAGGACCTTGAGTGCTCTGCTCTGTAAATCTCATGTCGCAGGGTTTGGGCTCTTTGTGAATTTGCCTGAGGCATGTGAGTTTCCTACTTGCCCTTCGGTATGTCATCTCCAACTTCAGCATCCTGCTGTCCGCCTGTCTGTGTCCAGACAAACCCCCTTTGAAAAGCTGCGTGTGCGGGGCTGTCCCCGCGCTGCAACGATGGGCATGGGGATCCTCCTCCCCTGCCTTCCTCACTCACAGCGTGGGCACTGGTGGCTGCTGTTCGCCAGCCAGCTGCATTTGAGATCTGCTTTGGGCACGGGTGGGCTCTCCTTCAGGACCAGATTTTGTATTTTGTGATCAGCAGTAAGCTACCAGAGCGGCACAAAACAACCTTGGTTTCAGTTTCATTTCCCCTTGGCACAATGGGTAGTTTCTTACTCCTGGAGATGCTTTTTTTTCCTCACTATTCTCTGTTAGCCAAACCCAAACCTGAAAAACAAGTTGACAAATTAAATGGGATGTTTTCTCTCCCATTGTCTAATACATTGAAAACACACATCTCCCAGATGCCTGTGTGAGAGCAAATGATTTCACATAGCCCTGGCTGAGAATGTGTCCTTCTCCAATCAAATATTTATCCACTGGACACAAAAGTAACTCTCCAATGAGCAATATTAATCCTCACAAACCTTTCCTTAGAAATGGCATGCTGGAAAGTTAATAATGTCATGGTTATTAAAATGACTGAACTTCTCTTTAATCATTAGGTAAAAGATGCTTATTAAAGTAAAAGGTGATTAGATTGCTAGGTGCATAATAATCAGACCCTAAAATGAATTAAAGTCTAATTTGTTAATTCCCCAAACGTAATCTTTGAGTATATAAAAATTGCAGTGTGTTTCTTCATGTTGAAGTCCCTATAATAGGATATTAATGTTTTCTGGAAGAAAAATTGGTAGTCCGGTGAAATAAAACATGCTGAGTTGAAAAGTTGTTTTTCACAACAAAATTAGTACTTACTCTTCAACCTTTGCCACTGCGATTGAGACTTCCCAGTACAATATACTAACACACGTAATATCTCCAGACTGTACAAATATTCAGAATTTAACTATAGAAAATGCAAGTAATCTATTTGGTCTACACAAGCATGTATATACTTGTATGTATCTAGCAAGAAAGAGAAATTTGTACATGCACATATAGACACGTTGAAATACACAGCGAAAGAATACTGATGTTTTCTGTGGGATGCAGAAATGAGATGGCAAAGTTTATATTTAATATTATGTCTAGAGCTTCAAAATATTCAAAACAATACCTGGAATCTGCACTATATTTAGCTAAACAGACTTTGAGATGTTTTTGTGATATTTGCATTTACACTGTTTCGCTGCCATAGCGGTGTGGGCAGTAGTACCTGTCTGCAACTAATGCTTCGGGAGAAGATGCCACTCTGCTGTGAAGGGAAAAGTGTGTGTCAGTTGGTGTGGTTGCGGCAGGTGAGCACACAGGGGACCAAGTGATGCTGGAAGGGCACAAAGTCTCCCTGTCCCAACTCCTGGAACGATGGAAGCATATTCTGAATTTCCATCCCCTGATCAGTCCCATGCCCTCAATTAAAAATTAAACACATTTTGTCGCATTTGATTTAGGCAGTGCACACAAATCTAAGATAGTCTCTTCCTGCCCGTAGTTACTTTAGGTATTCAAATAAATATGGGATAATAGTTGAACCTGTTGAATAGTTTGGCACCTGAAGAGCAGTTCTCAAACACCCTGTTATCTTGGTGGAACAAGTACAATTTTATATCCTGTTTATTTTTCACCAGTTAAAAGTGATGATGAAGACGGAGATGTTAAGCCCACCAAAGGACAAGTAACCCAAGGAAAAGGAAGCGATGATGGAAAGGACCCAAGAAGACCTAAACGACCAAGGACAATACTTACTACGCAGCAGAGACGAGCATTCAAAGCATCCTTTGAAGTGTCTTCCAAGCCCTGTAGGAAGGTAGGTGCTTCATCAGGGACCTGAAGTCAGCTCTGATGCCAGGCCACGGGGGTGACAGGGTCAGGCCACAGCTCCAGATAGCCCCCTGCCCCTTCCTGGGACAGCAGCAGGTGCCTTGGAGTGAATATAGAAACCAGGCCAGCGTATGGCGATGCTCACCCAAATACCGTCTCAGCCTGGAGCAATCAGCAGCTTAGGACCAGCTCATTGTTGTTTCTGGATATTCACCCACAGTATGTAGAGCAGCTCCATGACTGATTCCCGCTGAACAGCAATATTTGGTTCTTATAAACCGTGAAGTAGTCTTTGACCATCAGAGCCCAGGTAAACAAGTGGCTTTTGCCCTTCTCCTTCCCACCACAGAGGGAGTCACTAGGCTGCTCAGCTTTGGCCCCACTACTTGTCCCTCCAGTCTTGCTTTTTTATGAAACTTAACCCTGCTGTTGATCTTGTTTATAGCAGCTAGGGAAAGGTATAACATTGCTTCACTGATGAAGCTGGTGAAAATCAAATCTTTGTGAAAAGCAACCCAGGTAACTGTTTCCTCCTAAGTTTGGTTGGAAAAAAATGGAGTTGCATCCTGAAAGCTGCCATTTTTGCTAAAAGTGACATTCTCCTGCTGATGTATAAAGTATGTCTTTTGGGACAGCGCAATGTGCCTTTTTGCCATTTTAAAGTATGAAGTTTTACCTCAACAATATAAAAAATGTTCATAGCCAAATTTGTATCTTTTTGTACAGAACTATTTTATGGGTAAAATAAGAATCATGAAATGACTTAGTGTCATTTTACACAGCTCAGACTATTTGTTCAGTACTTATGAAACTCGTAGTGACGTGAAGGGCAGAACTTGAACAAACTGCAAAAATATGAGGAATTTTTAAAAGTAATTATGTACATGCAGGTTTTTTTTCAGTACAGGCATATTCCTCCTAACATAAGTGATTAGTTTTTTAAAAAAATACAAAAAATTACATCATTAAACATTTCCTCCTATAGGTCAGAGAAACACTAGCAGCTGAAACAGGACTCAGCGTGCGAGTTGTCCAGGTCTGGTTTCAAAACCAAAGAGCAAAGGTAGGTTGTTTGTCAAGTTCTCAAAAGTAAAACGCAAATTGTCCTCCAACACAGATTTCCCCCTCCCCCTAGATGTAGTGCGTACCACAGAGATCCCAGGGACTGAACTGCACATATTTTGCATGCACTGCTGTTTACATCCATACAAGAGAGGCAACTTTCAAACACAGACATTAAGTTCATGTACTCAAAGCAACATGAGGTTGGGAGTAAATTTTGCATGCAAATATGCATGCAAATATGAACTGGAAACTGAAATGTTTAAGCTTAGAAGTGAAACTGAACCCACAGTGGTGTGTGCATGAATATAAGTGGTCTGTACCAATTGATTCAATGTTTGCAGAGAGTTTTGTAAGGAAATAAAATTATTTCATTCAGAGCCCTGAGATTGTTCTGTTCTTCTTTTATTCAGATGAAAAAACTAGCACGAAGGCATCAGCAGCAGCAGGAGCAACAAAACTCGCAACGACTAGGGCAAGGTAGGGGATTTGTGATGAATGCGAAGCAAGGGGAAAAGAATCTGCAAGGCTTCTTGAAGTGCCATTCCCACATAATGTCTTAGGTACAGCCATACAGGGCATGCGCAAGTCTGTGGATAATGTGTGCCATCCTCAGTGGAAACACACAGAGGTGCTGTATCTGAGTGCCCAGAGTTCTCCCATGGGGCCAGACCCTGGAGGTGTTTACACAGAAGCTGTTACCTCCTTTATGTGTGCAGTACAGAGGTGCTTTCACTGGAGGAAATCTCACTCCAGGTAGATCCTCCAGTTTGTTTTCTCCTGAAGAAAGGGGGACCATGCTTAGCTCGGCATCTGCAGGCTGCTTGCAAGGGCGTCAGCATCGCTGCCACAGCCAAGGCACAGGGAGCCCCTCCTGTGCCCCAGCAGCTGGGGCAGGAGGTACACAGAGGCACCAGGGCTTGCCCTGCTGCTCCATGGATGCTCTTGAGGTTCTCCAACTCCCAAGGCCTTGCAGCCTCAAATCCTCCTCTTTATGCAGAGCCAGAAAAACTGGTACCAATAGAAGTTAGAGAATAATAGGGCTATGTCATGGACAGGACAGACTTTGGGAAGATACGGTCCAGCACCCAGGAGGTCCAGAAATGATATAGTCAGAAACTGGAATCATAGAATCATTAAGGTTGGAAAAGACCTCTAAGATCATCGAGTCCAACCGTCAACCCAACACCACCATGCCCACTAAACCATGTCCCTAAGTGCTGCATCTACACGTCTTTTAAGTACTTCCAGGGATGGTGACTCAACCACTTCCCTGGGCAGCCTGTTCCAATGTTTAACCACTCTTTCAGTAAAGAAATTTTTCCTCATGTCCAAACTACAAGTCTTTCAACTTACTGCTCAGCGTTGTACTCTCAGACAAAATTTGGAAGGCTCCTCTGAATGACAGGACACACCTAGCTGCGTTCACTCTGCACTTGGGTTCAGTATTGCCACTGATGCTACTGTCTGCTGCTGCTTTGTTCCTAAGCAGTGACTGTACCCTCCTGTTTGCTTTGCAGAAGTAATGTCCAACCGAATGGAAGGGATGATGACATCTTACACACCACTTGCACCACCACAGCAGCAGATTGTAGCAATGGATCAAAGCAGTTATGGCACAGACCCATTTCAGCAGGGTCTTACCCCTCCACAAATGCCAGGCGACCACATGAACCCTTATGGTAAGGCATGCATCATTCTGCCACATCAGAAATAGCAGGGTTTGTATGCTAGTTCACACACCAAAGGTTCAGTAGAGTTACTTGCTTTTATAATATCTTTTCTGGGATTTGTACCGGGGAATTGGTACTAGTCCATTTTGTGTGTATATTTTCATGTACACATAAGGGGGTAGAAGAGAGCTCATCCGAGGCTCTGGACACCCTTCAGAACTATTTCACAGTGTAATTCTGATAAATGATAAACCAAGCAACATCACCTCTCCAGCTCCACTTTTTTAAAGTACTATCCAAGACACTGAAAAATAAACAGTACCAAATTCTAGCTCCCTCACAAGTTTTTCCTTTTTCTTAGAAGCTTTGGGGAAAAAGTGCCTTGAAAAGTGGTCTAATAAAGAGAAGTAATTATTCATTCCAAAATGAATAAGCACCCCTCTAAGATCCCTCAGACTGGATGCATGGATTTGTTAAAGAACAGTTCTTGAGCTACTAAGAGATGTGTCACCACAGGACATTTCTCCTGCATAATTTTTTTCTCTGCCCAAAATCAAGATGATGGTTTGCTTTCACGATTTCCTGACCACACACCATCAAGTGGATAGGTACACCAAATGCATCACAAGCATTAAATGCCTAATAATTGATTCTGGACAATTGCAGTGTGGCATTTAAATAAAATTTAAGAGGATTTCTCAGACTGTGATTATTGGCCTTGCTGTAGCCCACAAGGGCCTGTTACGTTAGACTCGTTTCTGCTGACCAGGAGCACTTCATTGTAGAGGTCCACGTGCATATCACTTTCATGAGCACAGCAATGCACACGCCAACAAGAAACCTGCTTTGGGTCTGTGTTATTACTTTTCCCACTGAGACAAGTCCATGGTACACACCAGGCAATTTGGTAAATCCTGTAAGGAGCTGAGGACATCTGAAGTGCTAATGAGCATTTAGATGGCTTGTGATTTTGTTGCTAACAATTTGCTTGGCTTTCTAAGCAAAACTCCTTGAGAGGCAGGTTCTGTCCTCCAAACCCAGTGCAGGAGATAGTGCAAAGCCGTTTCAGATGAGTGCATGAGGAAAAAGAGCCAGACTAACACTTTCTTAGTGCTCACAGGACTTGAGCTAGAGCTCTTTCTGGTACCTTAAGAGTTGAAGTAAGCTGAAATCTTAGTTGCTAAGGGAAATAAAAGGTGCTGTTCCAAACCAGCCCCAAAAGAGTGGAATTTTCTGAAATGAAAGCATGTTTACAACTGTAGCTCACTTGAGGCCAGGGAAGTGGGGTCTCCTCCTGGGTCCCATCACATTCGTAGATCTGTCTTTTACCTTGTATGTAAATGAAGACCATTACTGGTTATGGCGCTCAGACCGCTTCTCCCTGTCGTGGACACTCAGTGTCTGGTCCCACCTTCCTCAGTGGCCCCAGTGCCCCCGTGAATGCCGGATCCCAGCTCACGGAGAGCTGGGGACCTGCTCCTCCCTGGCACCATTTGCTCCTGTCATCAGCCAAGACTCTCTTTTGTGCTGCTGACAAGTATAAATTAAATCCTGGCAGATTTGAGTGGCACTGCTGCCAGTTGAACTCTGCAAATTGGTTGCTAGCCTTCCTCTTTGTAGGTCAGACCCTTAGAGCGAAATTATGTTAACGTGTAAAAACAAAACCAGGAGCGTTCCCTTTTGCTGCAGTGTGCAACATACGAGCATCTGTGTGTACTGTGTCCTCCCCTGGCTGCACAGAATCCAGCTTAACGTATACGTTTCATTTGCAGGAAACGACTCCATTTTTCATGATATCGACAGTGATACCTCTTTAACTAGCTTGAGCGACTGTTTTCTTGCCTCTTCCGAAGTTAACTCCATGCAGGCTAGAGTAGGAAACCCCATTGACAGGCTGTACTCTATGCAGAGCTCATATTTCGCCTCATGAAAATAAAAGAAAACAAACAGCCGGCGTATATTTAGCCAGTGACTTTTTCCAGTGCAGACTCTACAGCCATATGTTGCCCAGCTCTTCCTTCACAGTGACTCCTGCTGCCTCTGGACTGCAAAGAGCATTTTTAGGAAGACTATATCTGTGTGCATATATGTGTATGTATGTATATATATATTAATACCTACCTACATACATACATATATATATATAAACAAAACGCATCCACCAGTCCCATACCCTTGATTCCCAGCTTGCACCAGACCACGAGACAAGCACGGAAGGAACAGAAGACCCTGCTCGTCAGCAGCCTTTGGTTTGGTTTGGTTTGAGCTCATCGTTGTAAAGGAAATGGATTTTGCGGAAAGCTAGACCTTTTCCTCCTTTCTCTCTTCCTTTCTTTTGGATGTTTAAAGTTTTTTTTTTTTTAAAGCCACTGATACTGACATCAGTCGACCATATGACAAATAAATCAAAGAAACTGGAGATTCCTCCCTTTTCTTACTGCATGATTCATACTATGTTGTGGATAAATTGCCATTTGAACTGTGAGAAGTTAATGTAAATGTGACGTTCAACATTTGTTTCCTTTCTACACTTTTTCTACATAACCTAGATCTGCTCATTAGTTTATAGCCCTTATGCATACGATACTGAGAAACTGGTTAACAGTAATATTTGTGGAGAAAGCCAGTGATTTCATAATAAGAAAGGTCTATGACCCTGGAGAGGAAGTGCATGTTAGGGACAGAGGCATTTAGGTTAGTATTGATCTTAAATAATGAAAACTAAAGGTGCTTACAAGACAGAGTTTTATTTAATTTTTTTTGAAGTGTGAGAATAAAACATTTACAATTGTTTGTAAGTATTGCAGTGCCAAATTTCAAGTCTAGACCATGATTGGCAAACGTGTTGTTCATTCTGTTCTGTTTATTTATGTTTTGCATGAGGCATAAATGTGCTATGCTCCATTGTGCATCTGGAATAATTAAGCACTCCTTTAGTTAATTATCTCGCCTCAGCAAGAATATATGATATACAGTTCTAGCCTGAACCATCAGAAGTCCTGAAATGTGCACCAACTGGGGAAAAAAACGTACGAAAGAGATCACAATGGGAGGTTTAGATATGCTGAGCTGGAGTCCAACCCAAGTCCTGCAGGTTTCACACTGACGGGAATCCTGTATTTACATTAAATACTCCAACTAACCTATGAGTGCAAATGTAAGAAGAACATGTGCACAAATTGAAGGGAATGTCCCAGCTGAAGTCTGAATGTCTCAGATGCTGAAGTTTGAGCGTATGTCATATAGGTTTTCGTAGGGCATAAAATATCATAAATAATAATAGTATAGTTATAAATATTGCCTGGTGATAATTATAATGTGGAGAGGCAGACAAGTACGGTCATGGCTCTTAGTGGAGAAAACTTCATGGGGAAAATTTGCCAGGGTAATATCAGTAATTATAGGGTGTGTTCAAAATAGAGCTCATGGGGAAAGATTGGCAGGATAGGCACTTTCTTAAATAAATACCTTTAATATATTGACCATAATAGCCGAAAACAAGTCCAAAGCATTGGTTAATCTGACTCCTCCAGGCTGAGGACTGGTACCAGGCCAGTGCTGCAGAGTCTCCCGTGGGGCTCAGCACCTTCTGCAGAACCACGGGACTCTCTGGGACTCCTGTCATGGGGGAGGCCAGAGCGGGGACCCGGCAGCCTCAGCACCCGGGGAGAGAGCAGCCCCGCCAAGTGCCAGGGGCACCATGGCCGCAGCAGAGGGGGGTCCTGCTGAGGAGCCCCGCAGACAGCTACCCACCCCTTCGCTGACGGAGAGAGGTCCTCCTTGTGTCCTGGAGGGGTGGATGGCAAGGATCAGATGTTAGGTCTGAGGGAAAAAATAAGGTCACATTCCTCCCCAGCGTGGAAATGTGGACCAAGCATGTTAGAGGTTTCTTGTGAAAGCAAAGTTTTATCTGCAAGATAAGTGTGTGCATTTTCACTCTGTGGAGGCGAGGAAGGCACTGGGGGAGAAGTGTGTGTGTGTGTGTGCAGTGCAGGAGAGCAAAGGCAAACCCTTCCCACTGCTGCGTGGTGGCAGACCACCGTCTGCCGCACACACAGCCCTTCGTGAGCGAAGGGACCCATGTCTCTGCAAGGATGCTGGGGTGATGTTCCCCTCCCTGCAGGTTCCCATCTCCTCCCTCCGTGGCAGCAGCCCGAACTGCTGGCTGCCATGGCCAGGGAGATGGGTCCATCGCACCCATATGCTTTTGCTAGCAACCGTTCTCTCGCTTTCTGACAGGGATGTGGATTTTCAGTTGAAGGTTGTGAGCCCTTGGATATGTTTTGGAATTGGAAGAATTTTCTTTTCTCACCCATCCCCTTCAATTATTTTTCCCTTTCCTTGTGTATCAAAATAACAATTTCCTTTCTCTCTGCATGATAGCAAACATCTCTAAAGAACTCAGGTGATCCTCACTGCTTGCAAGGCAGAAGGCAAGCAGATTTCATATCATTATAAACATTTGTCATCACCGATCTCAATGGATTCATCAAGTTTTCCTCCCCACCCTTCTGCTGTGCTACTTTAGAGTCATAGAAAAGCATCTTCACCATCTCAAACATACCGGGTTTATAGACTCTACACATAGGCACAACCTTGCTTCATCCCTCATTACTGGCAGGATCAAAATGGCATTTTTAGTGTTTACAGGGACTTATATGAGAACTATAATGTGACCTACAGTTTGGAGAACTGCCTTGTCCCAACTCTACCTCTGCTTCTGGGCTGGATGTTGAAAAAACAATCAATTTCCAAGGAAAGAATCAGATATCCCATTTTATAGCTGAAGTAACCATAATCTTTTGCTGATTTTTTGGATGACTGCTTGCCACCTTTTTTTTTTTTTTTCTTTTCATTGCTTGTACATACCATCTCCTCTTCCCTTGGTGTATTGTATGATGATTCCTTAGCTTTTTTTCGCCCCATATTCTACCATCTCTGGTGCCACGTGCACAGCACAGTCAAGCCCTCTGGCATGCATAACGTTTCCCATGCCACTGTGGGTTGCTGCTGGTCAAGGGAAAGAATGCATAGCCAATGATTTCCAGTGGACCCGTTATATCTGGCAAAGGCCAAAGTTCATTAAAGCAAAATAAATGTCACTTTTTTTTGTGGAATGAATTACCCTACTGGAGTGTGATCATTGTGGTTTTAACCTGGGACCTGCAGTAAAAGATTATGTAGCAACCTCTGACCTTTCTGATTTCTGCTTTACTCTTCTATTGTCAAGGGAATGTCACTGATCAGGTGGAAGTAAAATGTTTAATGGGCCATATCACAGTAATATCTTACACTGAGTCAAATTGATAAACTCTTGCCAAAAATTCTTAGCATCTGGCACTTCCACGGAAACCACAAACAATGATTGCACATATGGGAGCTTGAAGGCTAGAGGTCATGACAGCAGTTTATTACATGCACCTTACAGTGATCATTTTCCCTAGGAAATTAACCCCTCTCTAATATAAATGCATCAAGTGAGCTCTTCAAGGTGTTTCAATCATGTTGTTTTGGCTAAGCAAGGAATCCATGTTAAGCTAAAGTGGTGACAAGATGCAATTAAGTAAAAGATGATTGATTAGGTTTCAGTGTTTGCTCAATGATGTTTAAAAAAGATGATTGTGAGATCAGAATGAATATGCTAGGTACTAGCTTCCTCAGAGGTCTTTATTGTGCAGTTGCCAGATCTGTAACGGTGGCACATAGAGATTTCCCAGCATTCAGAAATGGTTATGGAGCAGTGTGGCCCTCGATCCCACTGCCAGGCTCTTGGCTGGGCAGCAGCACGTTTCCATTGCACGGCTGACTGTCGAGGGGACGATTCCTACCATGCACTGCTGTTCTCAAGCCCCCCGTTTACCACAGCACTATGGATTAAACCCTGTATTGTAAGCAGTTAGGGGCTGGTGGTAAATGTGTTTCATGGTCACAACATGGAAGACAAATATATTGCTGTAAGTAAAGTGTGGTGGTGGTGATCACTAAGACCACCATCCTAGGCATTTTGATCTCCTTTTCTTCTTTAAACTCTGTGATCAAAAACATCCAGATCACTTGGCTCAGTTGCTGCTAACCGTGCCTGAGGTGTGACTCACGTGAGTCTCACGATGGCTCCTGAGTGGATTTTTCAGACCCACCCTGCACAATTTGGATGAGTATTATCAGGTCCTTTGAAGGGGTCATTGCCGCTCTGTCAGCAGCAACTTGGCCACCTCACTGCGCCATCATTGCATGGGGAAGGTCCTTCATGCTGGCAAACCTTCCAGGGATGATGTGAACCCACTTACCTCTTCCTACTGTGCTCAGGACTCCCTTCCAGTTTCCTTAAGGATCAGAAGTATGTCCCAAGCCACCGCCCCAGGTGCCGCAGAGAACCCGGCTCTGTGATGCTGCTAGGGATGCTGCAAGCTGGGGTTTGTGAGAGCACCTCTTTGAACCGTATCATAATAATTCTGGTTGTTCCCAAAAGTCACTAGAAATTAACAGCAGAATCCAGGAGGAAGGGAAGGGTTCTTACAAGCCTGGAGCTTGGTCACAACAGTGAAAGGACAGAGAGGCTACTGAAGCACATCAAAGCCATGGGAGCTGGAGCCACAGTACCCAAAGTCTCAAGTGCTCAGGACAGTGCTTTACACAATCCCATGCCCAAACCATGTCATGCATTTCTGAACAGCAGATGCTCCCTGTGTGTGCGGGTCCATCTCCAGCCTGCCCTCCTCGCCCCGGTGGCACGGGACAGCCAACCGCTGCACCCACAGCAGCGTGGCCAGGGCATCAGGCGCCTGTTCTCTCTGGTTAGGGGGGTACTGGGGTGTTTGCTTACCTCTTGACAGGTACCTGAAGTCTTTTGGCTTTGGTGGGATTTAAGCGCGGTCTTGCTCATTTGAGGCCTATCTGAATAAACTGACAACCATTTGCCCTCCTCAAGGATGCAGCCCGGGTCCCCTTGGTTCTGCACACCCTGTTTCTGCTCAGCAGTGACTGTGAAGGGACTGCCAGATACTTTGCATTGGGAACTCTGTTTTTAAGTGAACACCCTATTTTTTAGCTGTGTATGGCTGTATTACTTGTATATTTATATATTCTGTATTTATGTTATCGAAATGTAGTATTTTGTAGCTGTCTGTTACAATTTGTTTAACTTGTAAAAAATAATGACTATGCTCTCTCATACTTAACCAGCTGCCTCTCACCGTAGATTCTCTGCTCCTTTCCCTCTGTGTTGGTAACAAACCACCATAATGTATGTAGATCGGATATTTTTTTTTTAATTTAATTACTTGTCATTGTTAAATTATTTATTAGTGTTTTTAAATTTCATTTC